ATATAGTTTCTGTCCTCTGTTGTATAATATGTAATATAGTTTCTGTCCTCTGTTGTATAATATGTAATATAGTTTCTGTCCTCTGTTGTATATAATAACATGTAATATAGTTTCTGTCCTGTGTTGTATATAATAACATGTAATATAGTTTCTGTCCTCTGTTGTATATAATAATATGTAATATAGTTTCTGTCCTGTGTTGTATATAATAACATGTAATATAGTTTCTGTCCTGTGTTGTATATAATAATATGTAATATAGGTTCTGTCCTGTGTTGTATATAATAACATGTAATATAGTTTCTGTCCTCTGTTGTATAATATGTAATATAGTTTCTGTCCTGTGTTGTATATAATAATATGTAATATAGTTTCTGTCCTGTGTTGTATAATATGTAATATAGTTTCTGTCCTCTGTTGTATAATATGTAATATAGTTTCTGTCCTGTGTTGTATAATATGTAATATAGTTTCTGTCCTGTGTTGTATAATATGTAATATAGTTTCTGTCCTCTGTTGTATAATATGTAATATAGTTTCTGTCCTCTGTTGTATATAATAATATGTAATATAGTTTCTGTCCTGTGTTGTATATAATAATATGTAATATAGTTTCTGTCCTGTGTTGTATATAATAATATGTAATATAGTTTCTGTCCTTTGTTGTATATAATAATATGTAATATAGTTTCTGTCCTCTGTTGTATAATATGTAATATAGTTTCTGTCCTGTGTTGTATATAATAATATGTAATATAGTTTCTGTCCTGTGTTGTATAATATGTAATATAGTTTCTGTCCTGTATTGTATATAATAACATGTAATATAGTTTCTGTCCTGTGTTGTATAATATGTAATATAGTTTCTGTCCTCTGTTGTATAATATGTAATATAGTTTCTGTCCTCTGTTGTATAATATGTAATATAGTTTCTGTCCTCTGTTGTATATAATAACATGTAATATAGTTTCTGTCCTGTGTTGTATAATATGTAATATAGTTTCTGTCCTGTGTTGTATAATATGTTATATAGTTTCTGTCCTGTGTTGTATAATATGTTATATAGTTTCTGTCCTCTGTTGTATATAATAATATGTAATATAGTTTCTGTCCTGTGTTGTATATAATAATATGTAATACAGTTTCTGTCCTCTGTTGTATAATATGTAATATAGTTTCTGTCCTGTGTTGTATAATATGTAATATAGTTTCTGTCCTCTGTTGTATAATATGTAATATAGTTTCTGTCCTCTGTTGCATATAATGATATGTAATAGAGTTTCTGTCCTCTGTTGTATATAATAACATGTAATATAGTTTCTGTCCTCTGTTGTATAATATGTAATATAGTTTCTGTCCTGTGTTGTATATAATAATATTTTTTATATTTTCTGTCCTCATTTCTATATAATAATATGTAATATAGTTTCTGTCCTCTATTGTATATAATAACATGTAATATAGTTTCTGTCCTCTGTTGTATAATATGTAATATAGTTTCTGTCCTCTGTTGTATATAATAATATGTAATATAGTTTCTGTCCTCTGTTGTATATAATAATATGTAATATAGTTTCTGTCCTGTGTTGTATATAATAATATGTTATATAGTTTCTGTCCTCTGTTGTATAATATGTAATATAGTTTCTGTCCTCTGTTGTATATAATAATATGTAATATAGTTTCTGTCCTCTGTTGTATATAATAATATGTAATATAGTTTCTGTCCTGTGTTGTATATAATAATATGTTATATAGTTTCTGTCCTCTGTTGTATATAATAATATGTAATATAGTTTCTGTCCTGTGTTGTATATAATAATATGTAATAAAGTTTCTGTCCTGTGTTGTATATAATAATATGTAATATAGTTTCTGTCCTGTGTTGTATAATATGTAATATAGTTTCTGTCCTCTGTTGTATAATATGTAATATAGTTTCCGTCCTCTGTTGTATAATATGTGATATAGTTTCTGTCCTGTGTTGTATATAATAATATGTAATATAATTTCTGTCCTCTGTTGTATATAATTGCATGTATTTAGCAATATCTGTTTCTATTTGTTTGTTTCGGTTTGATGTTTTTTTCCCAACTTAACCATTTTTTAAATAGTTTTGCATTGATACCATTCAAAGATAAGAAAGGAAATAAAAAAAAATTATACAGCCTTTATCACTTTAAAAAAAAATCTGTATCGGTTAGAAATAATAACAGCATTTTCGGGCAATTATCGGCGAGGAATTATTTTTTGTTATACTCTGTGCAAGTATTCTTCCGAGAACAAAGACTAGGCTGTGATCTTTTACAATATAATTATAGTGTTATTTTTTATACTGAAAAACATGTACATTCTTCCTTCACTTGTTCTTGACGCTTAATGATACAAGATCGACTACCCACGTGTGACAACAGTTATATAGCACAGTATAGGAGACAACAGGTAAAACACATGATATTTTATTTTTGCACTTTCTTCACTGCATTATGACACATTTAAAATCTAGTTATGAACGGTTAAGAAGTCTTTTCCAAACAATTTCTCCTCTCTGAGAGAAGTGAAGTATACCAATATACATGTTCTTATAAAGTTATCAACAAACACCTTTTTTTTTTTTTTAATTTTATTAGGGATATGGCATAATTCAATGTACAACAATGTATATATTATGTAAACAATGTATACTTGTGAAAACAGTGTATACTTCTACAATGACATCTCAGGTTATACCTTAGCTGCCAAGTCCCAGACTACTGATCAAGGTTAACGAAGGAACAGTGTGTCTTATTTGATGACATATATTATGTGAATATCAAATACAATTCTTTCGACTTTGTAAACGGTAATTGTATTTTGTCCAAAGATGTGTTCATATATATATAAGATTAAAACAAGTTATAGTATAATTGATTTGATACATTATGGAAAACCCATTAGAATGAACAATGTACCCCACATATTAACATACTAATTTGGGTCAAAACCCTAATCAATAGCAACATATCCAGTCCTTCACACAGTGTAGAATTAACTTATCCCTTATACCTCCTTAGTCATTTATCTCACTTTTTACGCCGAAGTTTCGAATAAAGTCGATATTGTGGAAAATGTACCAGCTCACAAAGAATTTCATTTAATATGAATTAAGGATATTTGAAGGTCAGAAAACCAAAATTTCTATACTTTCTGATGATGATTTTAAAAGATAGATAATAGCGATGATTTAATAGGAAAACTGTGTTTATTTACTTCCTTTATCGCTACAGGCGTTGGAATATATGTAATATGAAATATCAAACTCCGCCTATTTTCAGCGTCACTTAGATATAACTCTCTTAGTTACTTTGTCGAGGCAATCCTTTATTTCCAGCAATATTGTTTTTTAGAATAAAACAATAATACTTAGATACTTAAGAGAAAAAAAGAAAATCGAAATGTTTTTTGTTTCATTTGATATGATAAATTCGAATCGTCATAGCAACCGATAAACGGTAAACTTTTAACGTTTTAAAAATTGCTTTAATCCAAAATTTGCCCTTTTTTTCAATAATGTTCTTTGATAGAAAACTTTTTGAGATTTCCTTCTAGTAACGAAGACAGAGACGCTTTGTTTTATTTTTTTGAAGACCAAGCGACAACTTTTGAGTGGTAAGTTTCAAGAAAAGTGATTCACCAAGTCAGCAGTATTTCAAATCTGTGACCTGTTGTGGTGATTCATGCGTCTACTGCAAACCTTCAGAGATGTACATTGTCCTGACAAAGGAATCAAATGAAACTAAGGGCATTAAATACTGCGCCGTTGCTAAATGTAGTCCACAAGCAAAAAATATACAGAACGACATATTAGGTGCTGCGCCCTACTTTGATATACATGTACATGTAAGTACAAATATTGACAACAAAGTGTTTTAAACACTGGAATTTATTTTATAATCAATCATATTCTATCTACGGTCAAACATTATTTCCATACATCCTTATATGTTCCACTTTTTGCTGAAGTAAAACTGCAGATAATATAGTATATAAAACAAAATGTCTGAATAACTACTTCCGGTCAAACAGGATTCAGTATCAGATTTATGAATTATCTTTCCACAGAGTAAGCATCGCTGTAAAAAATCTTTGGTATCGCAACGCTATTGTAGAATCTTTTTGGAAAATTGATTTATTATTTTTAGTGTGGTAACGGATAAGGACATCCAAATCGAGCAGAACCTCGGGCATAGAAGTAGGAATCAGAGTCAGGTCAACGCCTCTAATCGTTCAACGTGTGATTGTTGATTGTAATGTGGAGTGAAATCATTAACATAAGTGATATATTGTTCAAGGAATATGTGCACGCCTTAAACGATAGTCAATTATATCCTGTTCTGATTGGAGGAAACTTTCGTGATTTATGTAACTCCGATCTTGAAGAGTTCCATGTGAAGTAAAATCAATTTTCAGAATGATGACGTCATATTGAAATTGACACTTACCGCAATGTTAGCTATACCGTATATTGTCAAATAATCAAAATGGCTTGATGTTACTGCAACTTGAATCATATGTTCCGACATGTAAATAACTTAGTCTCATAGTGATTGACAAGCAAATCATTGATGTTTATTTCGATGAATGTATTGTCATTCTCTGTTATTAGAATATTAATTCTGGAGGAAATAATGAGTATTTACTAGTTCGCTGATCTTTGAAAAAATACAACTGCAGCTCTTCACGACAACAAAATGGGATAATACTATGTGTCATGAAATCAGAACAGATGATACTTTTCATACCTTATCACAAAACCTGAAAATATGTACATCAACAACGTCATTCTTGCTAAAGGGGAATTATCAAGGCTAGGAAAATGCCTTAAGTGTAGGAACAAAATTTGTGAGTACAGTACTATTTGTGCTGTTATATGGAACGTAGCCATTTTAACTTGCAACAAATAGAATTGATCTATTTTTTGAAGTATTTATCCATCTGTCTACCCATGCAAAATGCAGATTTTAACTTTTGAACATGTCACATAATAGTTTCTCCATCGGCGTGTTTCCTATTGTTCGTCCGAAAAATATTTTCTCCACTTTATCAGGCAAGACGAACTTCAGGGCTGGCAGCATCAGGAGTAAACGACCAAATCTGAAGTCCAAGCAAGAAAACACACATGATTAGTATCCCTTATCTCAATTATTGATATTTAAATGACTTGATATCTCTCTGGAGCCTATCTCTAAGACTACAAATTGTAAGAGATTGTGTATTTATAGTCCTTCATTGTAACCAATACCACTGTACATCAGACTGGCATGTATCTCGTCCAAGGATTTCATGATTGGTTGTAGTGGGTAATTGAACCTTACCTGATTGGTTGTGTCGGATGATGAGCCCGGATGTGCTGCCCGAGCATGATCTGTGCCTGATCCTGTAAATTTTCCACCTGTATCGGATCTTTCAGTCCTCGGGTCTCTGTAACCAATATGGCAGTATGTGTAAGCATAGAAAACTGGATGTCATCGGGCGTTTACAAACGGAGTACAAGGACAAGAACATTCTCAAATGCTTGTGCGACATATAGTTCTTAAGTCTGTTAAAGGCAGAGGACTTACAAAAAATATCATTTCACCAAATGTCTTATAAATTCGTAAACCAAAATAGTAGCAACATACCAGGTTTAAACAATGCTATTGCCTTTAGACAAGCAAATTCTGCTGGATCCACCTGGACTGATTTGAATCGTGCAAAGACTTCCCGAAGAATCCGAATATCAGAAAAACCTGATTTTCCATTGGTTGGTGCGCTGTGCATGTGATCCTGGGTAGTCAATAATGGTGACGCTTCCATGGGCATCGACCACTGAATAGCACACAGGAGAAATAACTCGCTCCATGCCTCCTCAAGAAGGATAACCTATATTAAATTGAAATTGAATTAAAATATCGTTAAAAGATATATGGAATGTCATTTATGTCCACTATTAACACCACAGCAATGCATGTACTAATTTTGCATTCGTACACACTTATTGCTTCAACAGTACTGATGGCAAAATGCATCATCACACTGCTGACAACAATGACAACGAAATGGAAACCCAAGGTATGTCATTACAGCCTTCTGGTTTAACTGCCTTCTAGTTAGTTTGTATAACATTACAGTTTAAAGATGATAATGCTTGCAGTGTGTGATTTTCATTATTCGTTTTTGACGTTTTCCATGCTAAGGAATGAAATAAGATAAAATAATGAGGTTACAATATTTAAAAAGCAAGTTTATATCTGGTGTGAACTATTTTGTGCCGGTATGAATTATAATGTGTATAAATCAGCTTAAGGTTAGAACTCGTTTTCCCTATGATAAGTTTACCATCAGTAAAAACTGACCTGATCTCGGAAAGGGAGGTTCGCGAAAGAGGGCAGATTCCGTGCCCAACGAACTGCCATAAAAAGAAGTCTGGCCGAACACTCATACATTGTCTCCTGTCCAGGGTTAAAGATGGCCGCTTCATGGTAGGGTGTGGTCTGCTGACAAGTGGCTGTTGCCTCGTGATCGACACTCGTGACGTCAATGGTCTCTTCGTGTCCTAAAAACACAAGGTTTACAATATGCTGCCTTCAAAATAATAAAAAATGATATACTCAAAGTGTTAAAATTTATGTTAAGCACAGTGAACATTGATTAAAGGGAGGGAACACGCTTTTTGTGACCATGTTCACTTCAAAAGATGAAAATATCAGAAACACAAACGAGACCTTTTTTCTTTGAATCTGAAGGGTATTATGTTAGAGGGTCCGCTCACTCCATATAATGTTCTCTTTTCTTAAATTGAAGATTGCTTAAGAGAATGATATGTTGTGTGTGTGTTAGTTATCATTCAGTATCGCTATGGGCTAACTGTTCGTTACGCTTCATGCCAAAATTTACTTGTTTATGAATATAGCAGTAAGGTTCAGAAGGTACCCCAATGATATTTTTTATAAAAATATCACACCTTGAAACACAGAATCGAAATTTATTAAATCATGGTGCTCGTTGCCTTCATTTCTAAACAGGACAGCTAAGTATCCAATCACGCCGCTTGTTAACCCCTCTCCCTCTCTATACATGATAACTGTTTATCAAATTACTGTGTCCGTCTCTATGCTATCTACATGTGACAAGTGTTTAAACTGATTCTGAGTTTCCTATTTCATCACAGTTACATGGCATTATTGACGGGTCAAGAAAGGACGGAACAGATGCATGATACCTGAGTATGATTCCAATAGATTTTTACTAATCATTCAATTTCTTGTCCATAGTGACTTAATCACAGGAAAAACTAACTAATGTTAAATGTAAGTCGAAATATTTTTTTAAAAGATTAAAATTTACCTCCATCTTCTTGTTCCATTTTAGCATTGTTTTCAGCCGTCATCAGACCAGAAGCGAATCTGTGATTTGCTGCGGGACTGAATGCGGGGTGTGTGGCTGAGACCGTTGCCGTGTTGTGACACAGGGGATGGTCAGTGTCCCCTATCAGTTGGTCGTGGCGAATCTGGGCTGTGTTGCGGGGTTGACGTTCATTCTGTACAGCTTCACGTAAAAAAAAAAGAACAGCGATGTTTAAATATATTCCCGTGATATATAACATATAAATATATTACATGCATTGAATTTTAGATTCATTACAGGTTCCACTCTGATTTTGGATATTACTTTCGACCAATTCTGATTTTCCCTCAACATCACTGGCAATATCTAAAAGGACGAAACGGCTGTATGTTGTAGTTTATCTCATTATTTAGCTTCGCTGGATCACATGATCTACATTCAGTGTATGAATCAGTTGTGAGTCTTTTGTACAATCTTATTGGACAGTGAGCTCAACAGTATGATAAAACATTTAATCGAGTACAAGATTTAAGTATTTTGGTCAACACAATATGATATAATGGTATTTAATCTGATTCGATGTTTCAAATCATTTCTATGTATTATGTAAAAACCGGTTCCGTGAATAGATAAACTATGTTTTAAATTATGTAATGTGTGGTTTGAATGATAAAAAATTGATATGTTGGTATTAAAAGATCACACTTATCGTTTCAATGTTGCAAAATTGAGAAAACAAAACACATACGAACAAACTTTTTTTTCTATCATCTTGGTTGTTTTTCTTTTTAATATGAAAGTTCACTATATGTATTATTATACCTACCATCTTTGTTCATGCCCATGTTCATGCATTTCTTAAGACGACATGCCTGGCACTGATTCCTATGGGCCTTGTCCACCACACACATTCCTGTCCCCGCTTGACACCTGTTAAAAGTAATAGGTGAAGTCAATTGCTGATAACACGGGGTTTCTCATAGTCTTTGACATGGGGGTTTTACATTCGATAACAAGGGGTTTCTCATAGTCTTTGACATGGGGGTTTTACATTGGGGGTTTTACGATAACACGGGGTTTCTCATAGTCTTTGACATGGGGGTTTTACATTCGATAACACGGGGTTTCTCATAGTCTTTGACATGGGGGTTTTACATTCGATAACACGGGGTTTCTCATAGTCTTTGACATGGGGGTTTTACATTCGATAACACGGGGTTTCTCATAGTCTTTGACATGGGGGTTTTACATTCGATAACACGGGGTTTCTCATAGTCTTTGACATGGGGGTTTTACATTCGATAACACGGGGTTTCTCATAGTCTTTGACATGGGGGTTTTACATTCGATAACACGGGGTTTCTCATAGTCTTTGACATGGGGGTTTTACATTCGATAACACGGGGTTTCTCATAGTCTTTGACATGGGGGTTTTACATTCGATAACACGGGGTTTCTCAGTCTTTGACATGGGGGTTTTACATTCGATAACAAGGAGTTTTTATTGGCTTATTGAGACTGCTGGTGACAAGATTGACAGTGGATAAAACTTCATTGTTGAATGACGATATTACATCAAATCAATATGATATAAATTGTCAATTATCTACGTCATGTGATCGTGAATAGTTAACGATGGATATAATACAGATTTGTTAATGGTCTTATGTCACGTGATCGTGAATAATTAATGATCGATGTAATACAGATTTGTTAATGGTCTATGTCACGTGATCGTGAATAATTAATGATCGATGTAATACAGATTTGTTTATGGTCTATGTCACGTGATCGTGAATGATTAATTATTGATACAATACAGATTTGTCCTTGGTCTATGTCACGTGATCGTGAATAATTAATTATTGATATGATACAGATTTGTTCATGGTCTATGTCACGTGATTGTTGATGGTTAATGATCGTTATAATATTCCCCAAACTGATTTTAGGGAAGTATATGTCAATAGACGAAGCATATTGAGTTAAACACATGGAGAGTGGTTCAGCAAATACAATGTAATCATTTGATTTTCATTCAGGTAGAGAAAGGGTTTGTCCAAATAGTATTATATGGAAGCACCGCCTTGCTGATGTATATTAATAGCGAAAAGATAAGACAACAGACAAAGTGATATAGTCAATTGACTTAAACTGTACATGTCGTGCAAGGGAGACCAACATAAAACATGCACAATGAACGTGTATGTACTGGATTTAATATCTCACACATTTTTGGTATCCCTTAATGTTAAATTTGTACATCTGGGAAAATATTTGAAAATGTTCAGACCTGGAATGGCCGGCGTTCGGTAGGGACTGGCCCAATCGCATTTGCTCATATCACATTCTAGAACCAAGTCTTATACGTTTTTGCCACTATTGTAATTTAGTAATGTCTGTGTTTTGCGCTACAGGTAACTTTTAATGTATGTATAAGATTTACTGTGTGACAGGAGAAGAGAGTGTCTCGTTAATGTTTTGGTAGACTGGATCTCAGGAAGGATAAACTGACCTGTTTTAAAGTTGATAATACTTTTAACTTTTGCATGTGCCATTATTATAAACTAGTTTGTTATTGAATTTGAATGTAATGTATGAACTTCCGGGCATAGAACGAAATAACTAGAACTGAAATAAGGAAATACAAACGTTGCTCTGTATATATACCTGTATATCAGTTTGCGCCTGACGCTCCTCTTGAAGAACCCACTGCAGCCATTGCATGCTAGAATTCCGTAGTGTTTACCGCTTGACGTATCTCCGCATACAACGCAGACCAGCCCGGGAGAGCTCCTCTTGATAGGCCCAATTCCTGGGCTCAAAGGGCAGCTTCTGTTCATTGTTGGCGTGTTTGTTGACACCGAGAGAGTTGGGGATGGAGAATGGGATACTAGTATGGTAGGCGAAGAACGTGATGGAGACATGGACCTCATGCCTGGCAAACAAAAAACAAAAAACTCATCAATATTAACTACATCGATCTGTTTCTGATCTTAAAAACCACAACAGCTTCGATCATGTTATTATAGTGTCTACATGTGATGTAGGCACACTGTGACGCATCTGATGTTACATACAGGCCAATGGTCAACCTACTTAGGATAACAGCAAACCTCACCAACTTAGTACATGTAAATTAAGTCAAATGCAACAGCTATATCATAACATAAAACCATTCAATACTGCCTTCATTGTTATCGGATCAGTTCTGGACAGACTAATATTGAATGCAGGACGGGGAAATGTTATCTGTAATTTGTAATCTGTAATTGTAACCTTATTTTACCTTGTTATAAGGATATCGTTTAAAGAATGTTCAACACTGTAAATCCTCAATCATCTTTATTTCGCATTTTTATTGACTGGAGCCATCATTCGTTTATATTTTGTTCTTTTATATACATTATTGTCTTTTCTTGTGAGAGCATGAGGATTTTCTATTAATTAATAAGTTTACGCAAGACTGAGGAAAATGTTTTTTTGTATCATCCACTCTTAATGCTTGAAATATAGACCAAAAAGACTGCTTTGTTCTAATTTCAAGTGGAGTGCTCAGTGTGTTTGAGAAGATCCTAGTACGAACACGAGTGACTGGTATATATTGACTAGGGGTGCGTCGTTACGACGAACAGAGATGCACTAACCCCTGCAGTGTCAGGACAAGTGCTTTGTGTTTAAATATTGTACCAGTATATTCCCGGTATATTTCCTACATACTTAACGTGAACTGATAAACTGATATCTCTTTTTCTCCATGTGTTAATGGCTGAATAATTACACTAGTAATACTATTAGTACTTCCCGTACACGAAAACAAAGAAATCAAGCAGCTTGATGTTTTAAACAAGACAAATTACCTGCATGTTTTAATTCTAACCAGATAAACAGAATGCTGAAGAGTGGGTCGTGAAATGACAAAATGCACCAGTATCCTGCTCCCAGTTTCTGGCCGTACACAGCTCTTAGTTATATGCCGTGATTTCATTATTTGTGTGGTAATTAGCCCATGTACATATACCACATCTTAATCAAAGTCAATTCTCTGACACTTATTTTAAAAACATTAACATTAAAAGCTAGGCAAGCAAGCAGAATTCCCATTCATTTTGATACTAATTTAGATCAGTGAATGTACATAACGGGTACTCTCATACAACACACACATATATATATACGTATTAAAGTGAAGAAATTTAGTTGGAAAGCTGTAGAAAATCCACGATTACGTTCAATAATTTTACATAGAATAAAGAATACTTGCGCAGAATATCAAAGTAATCCAATGAACCAAAATCATTATTTTATTTCGAACTTGAAAATAACGTTACATAGAAGTTTTATCTCACTAGCATGTACCACTGCTTCAAATCACTTCAAGTTTTTAATTCTCAATGACATTGTTAAATAAAATAACAATAACCGTAGGTCCTATCGAATGCGTTTGTGTGAGCCAGTGGGTATACATCTGTTTACCTGTGAATAAGTAGGTATTATAAAGTCATCTGTTTACCTGTGAATAAGTATGTATTATAAAGTCATCTGTTTACCTGTGAATAAGTATGTAGTATAAAGTCATCTGTTTACCTGTGAATAAGTAGGCATTATAAAGTCATCTGTTTACCTGTGAATAAGTAGGCATTATAAAGTCATCTGTTTACCTGTGAATAAGTAGGCATTATAAAGTCATCTGTTTACCTGTGAATAAGTAGGCATTATAAAGTCATCTGTTTACCTGTGAATAAGTAGGCATTATAAAGTCATCTGTTTACCTGTGAATAAGTAGGCATTATAAAGTCATCTGTTTACCTGTGAATAAGTAGGCATTATAAAGTCATCTGTTTACCTGTGAATAAGTAGGCATTATAAAGTTATCTGTTTACCTGTGAATAAGAAGGCATTATAAAGTCATCTGTTTACCTGTGAATAACGAGATGTTATTAGGTCATTAGTTCACCGTTGAATTCGAAGGCAGCTTATGTTCATACCTTATTGCCCTTTTGTAATGTGGAGTTTGCAGAGTACGTTGGTTTCATTTTTAACAACATACATCAGAATAAGCGTTTCTTGTATCTTAGAATAGCAAGTTCTCATAATAAGACGACAAAAACCAAGGACCTGGTATCAAAGAACCTGATTTCAAGATATGATCCAGTCATGATAATAAGAATCTCCAATTTACTTTACTGGAATTGGAAAATACACTATATGTTTAATAACAAAACTGGAACGAACGGATAAATGAGAATATGCAATTTCATTTTGTTTTCGTGAATCGGACACATATGGACGGCATATCTTAATAGTTAAACAATTAATCTGAATTTTCTTGGTTTATGATGAAGCAAAGGAGTGTTTTCAAAGACCGTGCTTCATTACCATAATTAGGCTATAAATAATTAATTTTTCTGATTTGTGCGGTTGAATCTGGAAGCGCGTGATCGCATAACGTTTGATCAGGAGACATACATTAGCAAACCAAAGTCACAATTGCTGGGTTCAACGGGTATGTGAGGATGTAGATCCAATCCGAATAAGGTACGGATGTCGAAAGCTTTGGAAGTCAGCCTGACTTGCTATTCGGATGGCGTGACAGCAGACTAGGTCTGAATTTGTGTTGCCAAAGTGAAAAACTCCATCAGCTGAAACGGCGTTTTAGGTTCCCGTAACCAAAAGGTTAAAAAATAAACATGAATATTGCTATATTTTTTCACCACATCACTTCCCAGCTTGATTCTCCCTGTAATTCATGGGGTCCATTTTTGTTTTCAATATTAATGGATGTTTTATTGTTTGTTTTCATTTTACAATTTAACACCTTTATCCATATAGGACTTAGACATTTATGAGTACTCGTCAGGGTTTTAAATAACTTTTGTCTGTTGTTTTGAAACTCAGCTGATAACAAGGATAATATAAGCTTATGACTTGATCGATCTAAATACCGTTTTATTTTTATGCAGTGAACGATTTCTTTGCTACATTATGTGGATATCTGTACTTTGTTGCCTATTTTGTCAGTATGTTTTTTTTTAAATATTTTGCTACCTTTCGTTGACATGATGTTTTGCCTTTTTTACACGTATCTTTTGCACTATGATATATGTTTTACTTTCTTACCTCTAGTCAGTGATATTTATTTTTTTGTTACCTGATGTCAGTACTAATTATATTTTGCTACATTTTGTAAGTATGATATTTAATTTGTTTCCTTTTCTGAGATGATATTGTCATTTTGTTGTCTTTTTGGCCGTAATTTTTTAAACTTTGCAACCTTTTTGTCGGTGTATGTTTAACTTTGCTACCTTTTCGTCAGAATGATAATTTTGTTTTTGTGTTACCTTTTGCCAGTGTTATATTTTGTGTTTTGTTACCTTTTGTCGGTGTTATATTTTGTGTTTTGTTACCTTTTGTCGGTGTTATATTTTGTGTTTTGTTACCTTTTGTCGGTGTTATATTTTGTGTTTTGTTACCTTTTGCCAGTGTTATATTTTGTGTTTTGTTACCTTTTGTCGGTGTTATATTTTGTGTTTTGTTACCTTTTGTCGGTGTTATATTTTGTGTTTTGTTACCTTTTGTCGGTGTTATATTTTGTGTTGTGTTACCTTTTGTCGGTGTTATATTTTGTGTTTTGTTACCTTTTGTCGGTGTTATATTTTGTGTTGTGTTACCTTTTGCCAGTGTTATATTTTGTGTTTTGTTACCTTTTGTCGGTGTTATATTTTGTGTTTTGTCACCTTTTGTCAGTGTTATATTTTGTGTTTTGTTACCTTTTGTCGGTGTTATATTTTGTGTTTTGTTACCTTTTGCCAGTGTTATATTTTGTGTTTTGTTACCTTTTGTCGGTGTTATATTTTGTGTTTTGTTACCTTTTGTCGGTGTTATATTTTGTGTTTTGTTACCTTTTGCCAGTGTTATATTTTGTGTTTTGTCACCTTTTGTCGGTATAATATTTCTTTATTTTTGCTCTCTCTTGTTGATGTGATATTTGTTTCCTTTGCTTCCCTTTTGTCGGTACGATATACAATATTTTTGTTTCCTTTTGTCGGTGTCTTTTTTACTTTGTTACTGAATTATTTTAGGCTCCATTATTTCCGTGACCTTGTTACATTAATTTCTATTGAAATTTGTTAATACCTTCTTTGTCTTTTGTATAATCTCTCTAATAACAAAACGGAATATAAAAATGTTATTACAATTATTCGCTATTTATTTATTTTTATTTTTTTACTATTAATATGAAATGGACGAACAATATCGGTATGAGAGCGATGTTAACTGACACCAAATTTTATTTTAAATTCTAACGTTATGACGGGTATAATTATATATATATTACGGAAATATATAATTACATCAAAGTACAATACGTTTAGTTTGCTAATGAGTTTTACAATTTGATATCAGATTTGACCAGCAGATCATACCACCCAGCAATACATACGTCAATAGTAGTACTGATGTTATGAAGTCGAGATCGAATGTTTAATGCAGATAAAATCGGCATTATACAGACTTAGAAAGCGTTGATTATGAAAATTAAAACAATTACAATGGATATCTATCTGTAATATTGGACATTTTTTAACAGATCAAATTTCGATAGGCATTTTGTCTCCCTGTTAATAAGATTTATGAATGACATTAACAAGTAACGCATGGAATTGATCACGGAGAACGTGATCAACTGAACAGCATCGTATCAGTTTTGTATCCGACATCTCATTTGAGTTGATTCACTTTTCCGCATGAACAGATAATTAATGTTTGTATCTTTCTCTTTAGCCGCTGGCCTCTCTGCTTCGCCAATGAAGCGTGACTCGATACCACCTGCATCACGTTTGTGGCTCACCTCCAGCCCGGGATCAACCCCTCTGGGCTGATCACACCACGCCTGTATAGAAGATATCCTGCAAGACAGGGGAATGTCACACACTA